ACTTTTTATACTATGTGTAATATATATTTTTGACTTTTTATACTATGTGTAATATATTTTATATGATTTTTTATACTATGTGTAATATATTTTATTAATATTTCTATATTAGTACATATTATTCTATATCTATAAATATACTAACGATCTTACAATAATATGCTTAGTATACTAAAGAATAAGTTTTTAAACAATAATAATAAGAACAAGAAGTCATATGAAGAGATAATAGACAAAATAACCATAAAAAACCAAAAAGAAATGATATTCGATAGAATACCAACTGAATTGTTGAATTTAACATATAATCTACTATATATAAGTATAAATACTAATTATAATAAGAATAATATAGATAAAACAGTAAACAATTCCTTTAACCATACAAAGACAATCATAGAAGTAATTATGAAATTATCAGAAAGAATAATAAATAAAAAGTTATTCTATAACATAATAGGCAATAACCATATAATAGCACTAAATGCTTACAGGATAATTCATTCTGAACAAGTGAGTAATGAAAAATCAGAAGAATCCATACTGAAACTAATGGAATTAACAGAAGACCAAAAGTATTCTAAGTTACAGAGAGCATTAGATATAGTAAGTATGGGCATTCCTAATCTGAGTAAAGAAGACAAAGATATAATGATGACATTTAAGTTAATTGACTATACTAAACTTAGTGAATTTATAAGTGGGTCTGTATATGGATCTATTTATAATAGTAAAAATGGTATTAAATCATACTCTATATATAATATACACAGGTTAGTATATAATATGGCCATACGTGCAAGTATAAATACAGAGTCTAAACTAGCTGAGATGATAACACATTTAGACCTGTTATATACTGCAGATGAAATAGCAGTAGCAAAAGACATAAGAGAATCAGATGTATTAAACAGTATAAAGGACAAAGCAATCATGGATAAAGTTGTTAACAATGTGATTAATAACTATTTTAATGGGATAAAACCTGCTATTAGTGAACTAATCAAGAAAGAAGCAGAAGGAGCAAAGAAAATACAAGACAAAGAAGTTAGAGAAAGGCACGTAGGAAAAATGAGAGAAGAGGAAATTAAAAAAAGTGAAGAGGAAATCAAAAAAAAGAGAGAAAAGGAGGAAATGAAAGAAAACCTAAATAAAGTAGAAGAAGAAACAAAGAATATCTGGGGCAGAGCAAGAATTATCAGGGATAGAATAAATAATATTTGGGATGGAATAAACAATATCAATAATGCCAATACACTACGGTGCATTCTTATAGTTGTATTTACACTAAACTTTATTAGTATAATATATTATAATGAAAGTGCTCCTAAAAAAATAACTCAAAATTAAATTTATAAAAAAACAAAAAAACAAAAAACAAAAAAAGAATAAATTTAATACTTAATACATTATTAGTAATATATAACAACTGTTGCCAATGGGCTAGATATCAATAATTAGTTTAATAAAATTTTATCTTGGTTTTAATTTGTTGGCAACATGGCGTCCTGACAGAGATAAGAAAGCAGTGCACTATAGAGTGGCTGGGATGACTATATCAGAGGTTGTGGGCGAAAGCCCTAGGAATATAGAATCATTCGTTAAATTGGTGAAAGACAGATAGTACGCAAGTACCGGACGAAAAGAGAAGGGTTGAAAGACACAGACGAAAGTTTGACTGAGTAATCTGAAACTAAGATCAAAATTGGGAAAAGATAGAAAAGAAAAAAAAATATAGTGTGAAGATAAAGATGAAGAAGGAAAGAAAGGAAGAAGAGGAACTAGAAGAGTTCAGTAAGAAGTGGAAGAAAGTATTTAACATGGAACCATCAGAAGGATACAAAGGAGAAGAAGTAGAGATAAAGACACCAGAAGGAAAAGGATGAGCTGAAGGAGAGGTATGGAATACCGGAGAGATGTAGTTATTGGATAGGAGTAGAATGGGAAAGGGAAGTACCATGGAAGGTAGGAGAAGACAGGAGAGTAAGGAGAGTCGCAGAGAGAGAGGAGAGAGAAGAGCTAATGGAGGAAGCGCATAGGGAGACAGGCCACGGAGGATATGAGAAGATAAAGAGCAGGTTAGAGGAGGAAAAGTGTTATACCTGGCTAGGGATAGGAAAAGATGTAAAGGAATGGGTGAAAAACTGTGAGAAGTGCCAGAAGAACAATCAGAAGAGGAGCATAGGAAGAGGAAGCTTTATACCGACAGCAAGGAAGCTAGAGCTGGTAGGGATAGACGTGATGGGGCCTATAGAGGAACACTACGTAATATGCATGATAGACTACCACACGAGAGTAGCAAAGCTGAGAGCGGTAAAGAAGCACACAACAAAAGAGATGATTGAGGCAGTAGAGGAGTGGTGCAGGGAACGAGGAGCACCAGAGAGAGTAATAACAGACACCGCGAAGGAGTACATAGGGAAGGAATGGCTGGAGTATTTGGAGAAAAGAGGAATAGTAGGGCACACGGGAGCAGTAGAAGTGCATGGGTCACTGAGGAGAGTAGAGAGATTGATAAAGAGTGTGTGGGAGATACACAGGAAGGGACGAGACGACAGGAAGAGTAGAGGCGAGGCGCAGGCGACGAAGGAGTGGATAAAGGAGATAGAGCGGATGATAAATGGAAGAGTACACGATGGGATAAAGATGAGGCCAGAGGAGGCGTGGAATGAGGAAGAGTGTGAGGAGACGAGAGAGAGGCTCAGGGAGAGAAACAGCGGAAGCGGGGAGTACGCAAGGAAGAGATTTGAAGAGGAGATAGAGGAAGATGGAGAGCTAGAGAAAGGCGCAGAGGTATGGATAAGAAAAGGCGCGCAGAGGAAGCAGGAAGATAGGTTCAGTAAAGTAGGAGTAGTAGAAAAGGCAGTAGGAGGAGGATCGTATATAATAAGGATGATAGATAGCACGGAGAAGAAATCCAAGGTAAACCACAGAAAAATTAAGAAGCGAGGAAGCAGAGAGAAAACTGATAGAAGAAAAGAAGATCCCGGGAAAATAAAAATATATAAGAAGAAAGAGGAAGAGAAAGTATGGTAACAAAGGCAGAGCTAGAGAAGATGCTAGAAAATGTAAGAAATGCAGTGATGGGACCAAGGATAACAGAAAGAACAATCAAGTGGGATATAAGAGACATTGAGGAGAAGGGTCTGCAGACAGAAGTAATTATGGCACCGAGGGAAACAATGGAAACAGACATTTGGATCTGGTGGATGAAGGTACT